GGGGGAGTCTGTAGGTGCTGCGGCCAGGTCGCGACAGGTGCGCGAGCCTGAATGCTGGAGACCCGCGGCGGGGGCTGAGAGCTGCGCAGAGAAAAGCTCGCTTTTAGCCAGGTAAGGGCCTGGTTTCTCTCCAGCCTTCCGCAGCCGGAGAGTGTGCGGAGACTCCGTGCTCCCTCCACACCCTTTTCTCCCGCGACTTGTGGAACTGGGGCTGCACACTGAGCGCGAACTCCTCCTATTCGCGACTGGGAGTGGAGGTACCGCTGATCGGCTATTCTTTCCTCACTTCTGGCTACGACCCCGTGTTTGGGAGCGATTGTGTAGGACGCCTTTCTTGCTTGAGGGCGGGAGCTCATGATACCCCCTCCTCTTCCGTCGGGAACACTCCTTTTTAGCTGTATTTGTGTGTGTGTGTGATTGGAAGAAGGTGGTAGGTCATCAAAATGCAAATAGTCTCTCAGGGAGATGGTGTGATATTCAGCTGCGCTTTCCCTCTTTATTTTCAACCATACCCTCATTAGCTTCCCCCCCCCTTCCATTGTGTCAACTGAACTTTGTTAGACACACCCTTTTGAGGTGTGTTGAAAATATGGCAGTCCTTGCAGTTGCGTGCATCGTCACCGCATCGCTATCATGTATCGTGTATATAGATAGTCACCTGCTACCAACGTGTGTAGGTGTTAATATAAGGTAATTGTATACCCCTGGCTACACCTACTCAGCCTGAAGTGGTACGCGCTAGCAGGGAACCATCTGGCGCCCTTCCTTGCCGCCTTACTGGTGCTTACGACAAGCTGTGTAGCTGATCCTGGTGAGAGATAATGGAACTACTATTGTCTTTCACCTAATTCCAGTTTTCTGCCTAATCCAGATGGTTCTATTGACTTTTCAAATTAACCAAAGGTATTTAGGGAGTTATCAGTCTTTAAGACAACACCCCTCTTGGGCACAGGTCTTCTTATGCATTAAGTATTCTTTCTTTTGAGCTCACTTTAAATGATTAAATAATACTTGTTATCTGCAAAATCACTAATACATACTATTCACAAGTGATAAATAGTTCAGGAACCTTAAATAATACTTTGTTCTGAGCTGTGTGATGAAACAAAGGATGACCCTTGGCAAACATATTCTTTGATCTTGTGGAATTATAGCCTGGGTGAAGGATGATCGTGTTTTAGGTAGACGTTCAAAAAGTTAGAGAATTAGCAGGAGAGAATTTTTTTTTTTTGTAAAGTGTGCACATACTTTCTTGCTTTGCATCAATAGAACAACCTATAACAGTCCACTAGATAATTAGGAATTTGTTTCCTTTTTTTTTAGACAAAACATTTACTGAGTGTCTTGTTTGTTGGTCCTGTGGAGCCAAAACTTCAAAAGTTCCTACGCTAAATTAGAGCTTAAAATCAAAAGTTTAGGCATATCAACAGATATAATTTATAGTATTAATGAGATCAATGCTGTGCCTGAGCTCAGAACAGAGCACCGTAGCAACACATTTTTTTTTTAATTCCCTCTTCTACTGTGCCTTAGGAACAAAACAAAATAAACAATAGCAAAAACTTTTGAGTAAGAAGGAGTGATTCTTTTCTGTGTGTGTATTTGTATCATTCATACTTCTCACCTAGTGTTCTACCAATAATATGGCCTTTGAAGGTGGGACAGGCCTTAGGTCTGTGACAGTTTAGTAAGCAGTTAGTGGGGCTATTTTTTAACTGGTGTGTTTGATGTCTGCCTGAAAATGTTATCAGGTAGTCCCTGAACTGTGAGAATCTCTGGGAAGAGAATAATGTGTTGGTTACATTAGCAAAGCAGTACCATTTTGTAAAAATTGCTCATTGTGTAACATTGTTCAACTTGGTACATTTAAGCGTTGTTTCAGACTGTTGTAAGGTGAGCCAAATTTCAACTTCATAACAATTCTAAGAGGATGATTTAGAAGTGAAGACAATTCTATTGAAGTATATCTTGATGACAGGGATATATGTTTTTTCTTACTAAGGTGCCTTCAGAGTATCTTTTTTCTTCCTTCTGTGTTTTTTTCCTTTGGAGGGAAGTTTGCTTGGGAAAGAGAAGATTCTTTACTGGTTTTCATGATCTGAAGTCTAATAAACTCTTCATAAAGCTGCAGAATGTTGTTATTTGCCTGCTGCTCGCTCGTCTGTGTTCTGGTATGCAGAGAATGAATAGGACATGATCTCTTTCTGATTATCATTTTTAAGTTGATATTTTAAGATAATACTACAGATGATGGTATAACTTAAACACTTGAGCCATTACTTGTTAAAGACATTTCTTTGGCAGTGATTTCCTGTAAACTCTAGGAAAGTGGGGTCTACCTAGGAATTTTTGGAAAGGCTGTAGATATATTTGCGTGTAGTTCATGTATCTACAATAACTATGTTTTTTCTTAAAAGATAAAAAACCAAATATTTATTTACTTATGCATACAAGGCCAGAGGTGGGAAGGGGGGATTGTGTGAGAGAGGATTCACCAAAGACAGAGTGGGGCGCAGAACAGGCAGATGGACTGAAATATGCTGCTGAGGGGAGCAGCGGGCTGTGTGCCATATGGGTCACTCTCTCTGGTCAGGGATTGAACTCAAGCTGCAGTGGCTGGAGATGGCTTCATTGCGCTGTGGTTTAACCCTGTTGGACCACCAGGGAGGGCCTCAAAGAGTTTCTTAATGCTACTTTGAAACTAAGAACTTTCATTCAATGGCTTTATAACTTCTCATAAATTTCCCCTTATTTATCCTATAACAGGGTTTACTTAACTATATGAAGAACTTTACAACTCCTTAGACATATTTTTTCCTAACACTTTAAAATATTGCCAATTTTAGTTTTTATAATCCAGATTGGTAATCCTGACATACTTTTAGCTGGTGTTATCTAGATTTCTCTAACAGTTTTTTTCCCATAAACTGAAATCCAAGCAAATGGCCCAGGAGTTTTTTCTTCAGTTTTACTGAACAGGTAACATTGCTGCAGTATTAGAGGAAGCCTGTTTATCTGTGCTTAGTATTCAGTAATTTTCCTCTGATAGTTGATTACTGTCCTCCTCTTTATACGTGCCAACATGTGACCAACTGAACACAATTTTTGTTCCTCCCTTGCACTTGGCTCCTTGACATGGCTATACCTAATTCTCCATTTTCTAGTCTAGCCATGGCCTCCCAGATCCCTTCACTAATATATGAGCATTTGCCTTTTAACATGTCAGTGTTTGCCATGGCCCTGTCCATTATCCAGAAGCATATCTCATTATATGCTCCCTGTGCAATTGGATCTCTCTGTTGACTTAAACTTATACCTTCATTTGAATGACCTGTCAATTTTTTCAACATTTTTTTTAATTTTACATATAATTCTTGTGTTATTTTCACATGTGCAAACTTAAACATTTAAAAAATAATTTTATTTATTTATTATAGAAAGCCTGATGTTGGGTTGGGGATTGCATTATAAAGAACACAAAATATTCCATAACCTGTTTCAGAGAGAATTTCCATTTAGTGTATTTCATTTCAGTCTTTTTTTTGATACATACATATAAACATACATGTCATTGAACTCATTTTTTACAGTGTTGTTTGAATCTATTTTTCCTTACTTTACATTATGTAATACTTTCCCATGGCATAAAAATTAATTTGAAAATGGGGCCTCCCTGACGGCCTAGGGGTTCTCAGAGTTCTCACTACTGCTGCCTGAGTTCATTCCCCAGCCAGAAATGTGAACAACATGCAGCAGACCTTTCCTGTCTCACCCACTGCCCTTCTCAGTAGTGTTTTTCAGTGGATCTGCCTGTTCTGCTCCCCACTTTTTCTCTGGTGAATCTTCTCATCCCCTGCACCTCTGGCTTACTCCCCATTTCTCCTATGCAAAAATAAAATCTTACTATAAAGGAATAATTATTTTAAAAAAGTATTTGAAGACAATTTTAATGGATGTTCAAAATCTTAGTGTATTAATGTTGCATAATTTAACTGTACAGTGAGGTGTTTTAATAAGTGAAAAAAAATGGTAACAAATTTACTCATAAATCTTTCTACAAATTACCTTATTTCCTTAGGCTAAATTCCCAGAAGTTGAATTACTAGGTTAAAGAGCATGAAAATTTTAAAATACTAAACTGTCTGCCAAATTGTTTCCCCCAGACTAATTAATTCTCATTTTCAGTGGTTGAACCTGCAATCTTAATAGATTCTTAGAAACACTGATTTTTTAAAAATTTTTACTAATTTCATGAGCCAAGGTGATTTATTTATTTGTGAGTATGAACATTTTTCATATATTCAGTTCCATTTCAATTTTTTCTGTAAATTGTCTTTTGGCTAATCTGTTCCCATTTTCATTTGAGTATTACTATATTTTTTTAAAGATTTATTTATGCATACAGAATTGGAGTACAGGCCAGAGATGCAGGGTGTGAGAGGATTCACCAGCCACAGAGTGGGGAACAGAACAGGCCGACTGAGGAAGTACACCAATGAGGAGCGTGTAGGTCAGGAGAGGTCTGCTGTGCCATGTGGGTCACCACCGGGCAGGGGATTGAACTCATGCTGAAGTGGCTTTAGCTTGTTAGTGCTGTGCTTTAACCTGCTGCACCACCAGGGAAGACTAGATTATTACTATTTTAATTATGTTGTTTCTTTGGGGATCTTCTGTTAAGTTGGAGTTCTTGATGAGACTACAGGTTTTCATTAGGCTAAATTGAATGAATGGAGTAATAAAGTGCTACAGAAGTTGAAATTGTGATGTTTTAAATACCTGTCAGTATGAAAAGTCAGAGCTTACGACAGATGAAACAGCACTGCAAAATGGAAAAGGTTCTGAGAGTCAAAATGTTCAACTTGGTGATGGGAACCAACCACTTATGTAGTCTCAGCTAAGTGGTCTGTCTCTTCTCTGATGGCTCTGAATTGAGAGGCTTGGGCATTGAGCATTGTGGGCTGAGAGGATGGCTTGATAAACCATAGCTCACTAGAGGTTATGAAATTACTTTCTCTCTTATCCCTAACCTTTCACTTCGATCTATAGGCTCTGGGGAAAGACTGGATGCAGTGAAGACATTCCCATGGGGTAACAAGGTTCAGTGGAGCCTG